AATAGAATTCCTAAGGTTGAAGTTAATCAAAGTTTATATTTTCAGTAGGTTGGTCATAGGCAAAGAAACTTAATATAGCCTACCTTTTGCTGAGGCTAACTGCGGCTATCTCACCACTAGCTAGCTTAAACTTGATATAGCTGTCTCTCTGTGGCAGAAGGTAAGCCAGAGTGCAGTGTGCGGGTTTGGCTTGGTTTTTAGCTCCATTTTGTAGTTACTGCAAATTCTGCATAGTGTTTTATGGAAATTGTTCATTTGTATGCCACATTCATTTTTTATTTAGTAAAAATGTCACAAGCGTCTGCTATTAACTCAACTTTGACCAAATATAGGCTATAGTTACCTCTACTTGGATTGTAGGCCAGGCATGGAAAATGTTATTTAAATAATGTTTGTCTACTACATCGACATAAAGTAGCCCCTGCTCCTCTCCTGTTGGCTTATTGTTGAGAGCCTGACGTAGGTCACTATACAGAGGTCACTCAGGAGTCCTCATATTCTAGTCATAAACAGTAAGCTATTAGCCTGCAGTCCTTTAAACAGATGCTAATAAAGCTCAGCCCACCCACACTGACCACAGCTAAAAGTGTGTTAGAGTGCCTGGACACATTTGTATGCACAGATAAACACACATCTGCGTAGTTTCAGACCCGGTTGCATTCCTGCTCCAGATGCTAACAGTAAAGGTGTGATGAAAACAAACATCAGGTCACTAGGTTTCCCTAAACTCTCTTTTGGAAACCATACAGAGGCCGGCAGTTGGCGGCGTCGCACACAAACCGACTGATATCAGATAAAAAAGAACAAACACTGCGTTTTCATCTTTATGAGAGAAAACAAGATTAGATGCTTCTGAATAGCAGCTCCAGGTTAATGGGAGGATTTCGTGCCTTCTTGGGTTGCTGCTGTTTTTCTTCTCTCCATCTGTGCTCTTACCTCGCATTCCCTCTTTCATTTTATTGTTTCCCCCTCTTCTCCTTGCTCTTCTCCTTCTTCTTCTCCTATCCCTCTCTCTGTTGCAACCCCCCACACCCTCATCTCCCCCCTCCCCTGTACCCACCACCGTGTGGCCTCCTCCTGGGCTTTCCTTTTGTAGCCAGGCTGCTCCGTGATTACAGGCCTGTGGTTCAAAATGTAAACATGATGTCAGTGGCAGCACCACTCAGCCTCGCATGGAACACCGTGGCTTCCACTAAACTGATTGGATGAAATTAAACATCCATTTAGTGCTATAGACACACTGACAAAACACCAAACAATGCAAACACACTGGCACCTCAATTGGTTTTGCTTTCAGATTTGGTTGTGGGCAGGGGATGTCAATGCCTGCACCCACAAAAAAAAAACACTAAAATATCTTGCATATTTTTGTTTGGTAGTGTGTTTTTCTGTTATGCCTTTTGGTTAAAAAGAAAAAATGTAGAAGCTTATGTAGGTTTTTCCAGGGAGACAACACCCATTTTTGATAGGAGAAAATTGTTTCATGATCTAAAACATCAACAGTAACTGTCAGTTTTTAATTCCCTTTAGAGCAGAGAGATTATTTCTAGAGCCACTAACGTTAAAGAATCATACAGGGAGAAATTTATCATAAGAGACACAGACTCCCCAGACAGTAATATTAAGAGACCCAAGTGCATTGCAGCCAAAAATATGGTGATGAAAGGACCCAAGTCTCCTTTTTTCTATACTAATATTCACTTGATTGTTCAGACATGATCTCTCAGGGGTTGTTGAAAGTCATTCTGGGAAATAGGAAACAAAGGTAGAAGAGGCAGGCTGAGAAGTAGATGCACCAAAACAACATGCAATTACCACAAAATCACAGATTGATGACACATGGGAGTAACAGTATCCAAGGGGGGAATTTCCTCTCAGAGTTGTTAAACTTTCCTTGGATCCAAATGAGAAATTTCGCTTCTTTTTTTCTGGGACCCAGATTCATAAAAACTATATTACCACTTACATCATGTGGTGACAGGCTCAGAAACTTGGCTTCAGGGCAATAGGTTGTAGCTTACACTTTGGCCTAAAATGCTCATTGTAAAACATCTCAATGTAGAGACGAGCCATAGAAACAGAATTGTTTTTCGAAACTTTTCACCCTTTGGTATTTGCTATATTTTCTCAGTTTTGTTTTGCCCCAGCCCTGTAATACAACTTAGAGGTTTCTTATGAATACCATAAGTTGTGTATTTGGTGTTACCCTCGTAACTTCATGCCAGGGGACATGCCGGACTTGGAGCTGAGTGTGTGTGTTGGATCAGAAAAAGAGAGGAATGGAGTCGGCTCCATCACCACACACCAGAGCTCAGAGCCCCATAAGCTCTTCACTTACAGACCAACCACGAAGACTCCGACCCAACCATCACCACATGCCTGCTGAGGAGGGAGGGGGAAGGCATGGAAATTAGCTGAGGGATCTTTCACAGTTGCAACACTGGCATTCCTCACTGCTTAGATTTCTATAACGCAAACTGAAATTTGAAGCTTCTCTTTAAACTCAAAGCAACGGGCTGTATTTTTTTGGTTGTGCTTTTTTTTTTTTTTTTTTTTTTTTTTAAGAGAGGAAAATTGGCAGGATATTTTTCACAGCGGAGGTTATTAGATTCCATTTTAGCGTTACAGTAGCATTTGAATGAAATAAACGACACGAGACAAATAGGTTTTCCTTTCCCTCCCATTTCCCTTGTTTTATATACAATCTGCTCTGGCACGTTATACAGACTCTCAGTCAAACACAGGCTTCAGTTAGGGTTTGTTGAACTTTCTGAGGTACTACTACGTCTTCTCAGCCTCTGAGTCATCTAAGTAGGGGTGAAGATCAAGAGGAAAAGAGCAGCCCACTTGTCTAAAAGCCAAAGTGTGCCTAGAATACCTCTACCACTGATGATAATAACAATCAGAGGGCCAAAGGCAATAACAGGATTGAACGAGAACACATGGCATGCCATGTTATCGGACTCCTGCCTGTTGTTTCTGTGGGAATTCCTAATAAGACTACTGAAGCCAGATATTTTGGACATTAATTCTATCAATTATGATACCACTGTACTTACAAATGTAATTGCTAAGGGAACAGGATGACTTTGCTACAACAAAGTCAGACATGAAAAAAAAAAAAAAAAAACAGAGTGGTCAAATGATCAGACAGGTTGTAAACAAGCCGTAAATCTTGACAGATTATCTAAACTACTTCATTCAAAGTTCAAAACATTTTTTCTTTCAAATAAGTTTGGCTAAAGGTGACTGAGTGTTCATGTCTCTTATCCAGACAGACTTCTTTTTTAGCAATGTTCCTGCTTTTCCAGATGTCAGCAAAAGGCCTTTTTCGCAGGAGACATTCTGACATGTTAGAGTATGAAAAGCACAGGTGCATTTAATAAAGTTAATGATGGCCAAATTGTATGAACAGTTTCAGTTCCATTGTACATGTTGGCTCGCTGTCACACTCTCGTGGCTTTGCTGGGACACTTGAATAACACAGCGCCATCGTTAATGTTATTAGTAACACCTGTGCTTTTCCTGCTATGACAAGTCAAAGTGTCTGCTGTGAAAAAAGGACTATAAACTTCGGGAGTGCAATGTTTTTATTACCAATAAAAATGATGGCCAAACTACAAAAATAGTTGTAACAAACCAGAGTTATTCTTTAACAGTCTTAATCTGCTCTTTTCTGTTGTTAAGTAGGTAACTGCTACTAAATGCTGTTTTTTCAGCTTCTTGATGACACTAAGTGGACTTTAAGAGAAACATAAAGATGTGTAGTGTTTAGTGTGTGTAGTATTAACTTTTCAAGTTTTTTTTTTTTTTTTAAATGCACCTATCAACAACTTTTCAGACAAACTTTTGCTACTTTCCGTATAAGAAAGTCACAAGGTCGGGCTTTCCCACTTGCCACATCTCTATGCTGACCACACAGCATCTGACCGGACTGAGCTTCTAACTTTCTCTCTGAGTGATTATTTTTAAGTTAATATTAATAAAGCCAATATCACAGCACAGCCATTATTTATGTGTTTGATGATTTTTTCAGACGGTGGTGCAGAACAGCAGCTTGGAAACGGCTCGATAGCGACTGCTGGTTAACGTAGTGTTAAAGGGTCTGCGTTTCGGTCACTTATTCATACTTGTTCCGTTGTGTGACAACAGACACAGAAAAATATAGATGGGAACAGCTGTATTGGGAATTGGGCTTTATTAAAATACTGTGTATGTGAGCACAGAGAGAATGAGAGTAGCAAACAGATAAAGGGCTGAAACCAGCTGACACTAGGCAGAACACATATAGTCTACAACACAGCTGGTTGTTTTAATGAGATTACATTTTTCAAGTAAGTTGCCCGACACCGTTTATATTATTTGACAAGGATTAGTTTGTAGTACAAACACATGGGGGAAAACAAGGAATTAAAGTAAAAAATATAGCAGCAGCAACTTTTCCCACCCTTGCTGTAAGACTACAAATACCAGCAGTGTGACAGTAATGTGGCTATTATTTCAGTCCTGCGGGACGCTCTCCCAGCACGGAGGAGCACAGTGAGGAACAAGAGGAGAGGGAGGGTCCAGGCAGTTATGAGCCAGTTTAGGAGGAGGCAGCGGACGAGAGGAAATTACTTTTCTGAGGTTAATATAGCCTTGCGGTTTTCCTACAGTAGCCACTCACAGATTCCCTCCCGGCCTGCACTGACATGGTCACTCCATCAATGCCAGCAGCTAATGTCATGTTTATCTCCCTCTAATCACAGATTTAGCCCACTAATTACAAACCAAAATCAAAAAGCCTCCAAGGCAAAAGAAGCATCATCAAAGGAATGTACTGAGAATTATGAGAATATTGAGGGAATGTATTCATTTTTTTCTAATATATAGATGTTATTTTTGTAACATAGAGCACATGTTGGCATTTTCTCAAGTATAACCTCCTGGAATGTTTAGAGTACAGTTTTATTAATAGCCGTCTCTCCCTCTCTCTGTCTGTCTTTTTCTCTTTCATCCAGGAACCTGATGCCTCGTACACTGGAGGGTCAGATCACCATGGAGAAGACGCCGAGTTACTTCATCACCAAAGAAGCCCCTCGTCGCGTCTTCTCCATGAGCCGCCTCACCAAGCTCATCGTGGTGGTGCGTGACCCCGTGACCCGGGCTGTTTCTGATTACACCCAGACTCTGTCCAAATCTCCCGGGCTCCCGTCCTTCCAGAACCTGGCCTTCCGCAATGCCACCACAGGACTCATCGACACGTCTTGGAGCGCCGTACGCATCGGCATCTATGCCAAGCACCTGGAGAACTGGCTGCGCTTCTTCCCACTCTCGCGCTTCCTTTTCGTGAGCGGCGAACGCCTTGTAACGGACCCAGCCGGCGAGATGGGCCGGGTCCAGGACTTTCTAGGACTCAAACGTGTGGTGACAGACAAGCACTTCTACTTCAACCAGACCAAAGGTTTCCCCTGCTTAAAGAAGCCAGAGGGGAGCAGCAGGCCACGCTGCCTGGGGAAGTCAAAGGGCAGGCCCCATCCCCAGATCCCCTCCGAGGTCTTGCTTAGGCTCAGAGACTTCTACAGACCCTTCAATCTCAAGTTTTACCAAATGACCGGCCACAATTTTGGCTGGGACTGAATGGCTACTTATCAAAGCTCCTAAAAACTTTTAGTAGCCAACTTCCAAGACCAGACAGGGATATCTTGAAGACATTGTGTGTTACCAAAGCTTTTACTGTATAAAATATGTATTTCCTTCATTTCCATTTCCTAAGCTATGAATGCAGGATCTGCCAACACATACTCCTGCCTTCCCCTAGGTTTACAACAGCCAGGCTAGCAGAGGTTGTCAGAGCCTCAATCAAAACAAAAGCTAGTGAGAAGCACTGGTTGTGGCTCAGTGTGACGGGTGAAAACCAGATTAAAGCATACTGCTTATTTGCTTAAAAACTGGAACTTCTAGCACTTGGCGCCACAAGTGCCAGAAGTATGCTATGCTCTCATTGCTGTCCAAAACGATTAATAGCACAACGTCTATATTTAAAATAACCCCAGAAAGAAACCTGTGCTGCAAAGAGATGTGTCTGAAATTAAACCAAGTGGCAAAAAAGTAAGAAGCCATGACAGCCGGACAGAGCTACGATAAACCAAATGACATGTTGGTACTTTGAGGGGGACACAGGAGTTCTGCTACAATAAACACAAGACAGCCAGGAAATAAGCAAAGGGGTTTGAATTCTGCACAATGGTACAATCAAAACAAATATAAATGTGTGTTTTTGAGACATAAATTAATAATTCAGAATCACTTAAACCTCAACAGCATTGTTCAGTTCACCTTTAAACAGTGTATGCAGTTAATGAATATTTTCTTTCCTTTATTGCAAACTCCTTTTCTGGACTCTTTAAATTTTATTATAAAAAAAAAAAGATAAACACATAGTAAAACAGAGGAGGATACCTGGGACAGGTGCAAAAAGATACCAGATACCAGTCCAAAATGTGCTGTAATTTTGCTGTTATTTATGTTGCCAATACAATGCTTGTATAAAATGTTCTTTACAGACCACACGCATGTCTGTGATTGTTGTCCACTACATTTAACTCACACTCACCTCCACAAATGGTACTTACATGCAACTGTATATTTCTAAAAGCCTAATTTATAAGATGACAAACTATTGTTGAGATGTTTACTCTGAGACTTTTGTATTTGAAATTCTGCTGGAAATTCTGAGTAAAACCTTTATTCTAAAACATGTGTTTTGCACTCATTTTCAGTTTCTGAGAAACTCTCAGTTCATCTTCTTTTTATTCCAAACAAACCAATATTGCTGCTGCAAGGAATTCAAAATACATCTGTTGGACAGATGAGTTTATTCCCCGGACGGGACCTACCAGATACTGGATGATTAATAAACAAAATGCAATTATTCACTATTGACTGATTTCAGGGGAATGTGAAAATGCTGTGGATTGTTACTTTAATCTTTAACCTTTACCATGTTTTAAAATCAAGTGTTAAACTCACAAACAGCATAAGTAAGACTTATGTAAGAAGACTGATATCGCTCCTGTGTATATACTAAATATGAGGACCAGCAGTGGGCTAGCTAAGCTTATCATAAAGACAGGGGAAATGGTTTTCCTGGCTTTGATGTGTTAAAAAACCTGCCTAGCATCACCTAAATGTCAGTATTATGCTTTTTAAAAAAACATCTCTGTCTCTGACATTAACAACCAGCTGATTAAACCAGTATGCCAGCACAAGGTACATAAAACAACAACAACAAGAAGGCCTGCCACATTTTACAACGCTGTTAACAATGTTCAGAAGGGAGCCATGTTGAAAAAATTAACGGCAAAATGTGCCCTCATGGTCAAAGGAATGGTTTGACATTTTGGGAAATACATTTAATTCACTTTCTTGCTGAGTGGATGAGAAGGTTGATACCACTCTCATGTATGGTCATTTTTAAGCTATAGCCAGTAGATGGTTATCTTAGCTTAGACTGGAAACAGGTTTATCCAGCTAGCCTGGGTGTGTCCAAAGTTAAGAAAATCTGTACTCCAGCACAAATGAAGTTCACTAATTAACATGTTAAATCTTTTCTTTTTTTAATCCGGATCTTATTACCTTCAGACAGAGCTGAGTTAGCTTTATGCTGATCTAAGATTACTGTCAGCTGGCTGTAGCCTTATATTGGACAGACAGGCAGTTCTATCGACCTGCTCTTCCTAATCTTGGCAAGAAAGCAAATAAGTGTACTTCCCCAAATGTTGAACTTTCCCTTTGAGCATAAGTGAGTGTTTAATGAAGCTGCTGTTGGGAGCACACAACGGGCTCGGATGGTGGTGGGGTCATATAGCTGTAGGCGTATGGGGGCTAAATTTGAAGTTAACACAGGAGAGGGGCTTTTCTGATGTGTAAGCAATCAATTCACTGGCGTGATTGGTGACCTTTGGGGAATGGCAATCTTTGACCTCCTCGCTCCCCCTTGACCTGTGAGCCTGGTCGTCATAAACTGCTGACCGCTTCCACCACTGGGCTGGTTAATGGAGTCGCCTCGCGTGAGCTATGAACATGGGTGCATGCTCTGCTCTCACACACATGCACACACTCACGCACAAATAAACACACAGGCATACAACAACTCCTCCCCGATCCATTAATATTGCATTCTCAACCCCTAGGACCTCCACTGAAGGAGATGGTCCGGATCAATAACTGCCTGTTTAGTTTATAGGCTGCGGGGATATGTGCTTATATGTACCATGTCCCACTGTCACTTTGATTTAACTCAGGGGTCGAACACGGGTCGCTATCATACATTTGTAAAATATTATTTAAGACCTGATATATCTTCTATACATCTGTAATCGATGCAGGGCTTAAACACAAATACACAGGGGTGCATACATGGATGCTGGACCTGGGTATGAGTCTAATCTTTCCAGAGCTACACAGTTATGATTGGGTCTCTGTGACATCCATCTACTTTCTCATTTATGCGGTTGTTAAAGTTCATAATTCATTTCATTACAAATCAGTGCTGGTATCAGTTTGATTCAATTCCCTGGTTACCATTTCTCACCAGCTACATCCATGAGGAGGTCATAAAGTGAGGATACAGCAAAGTAGAGAAACCTGGTGAGGGCAAATGTAGTTTTTTTATGATAATGTAACATAGTAGGTGAACTTTAAGCTGCACTGATCAATATTTTTATTGTAAAAATTGATCAAACAACAAGTCTGTAACGTCAAAGTTCTCATAGCATAGAATCCACAGAAAATTATTATCACCAGAATCTGCATTTTCTCTCGGCACTACAAAACTTTACTGCAACTATTTAATATTGTTTTGCAAATCCTGTCTGCAGCTTTACCGTTTTCATTCACTCACACACTTTTCTCATGAAAAATAAATCTCTAATGAACCCACTGTGCACTACTTGTTCAGCTTCAAACAGCAAAGTTAGCAGCTAACTTGAATAAAAATTACTCAACAGCCACTTTCATAGCAAACTACATTTTCAGAAAAACCTTCACATGATGATCCGTTACCTCACGAAAGCTTTACTGAAACTTGCAAGCATTTGACATGTGGGTGGCGTCATGGCCACGGGAAGATGTTTTAAGTTGTAGTGCTGTAGTGGGAGGAACATTTAAGCCCAACCCATACAAATACAAATACAACTACAACATAGGCCTACAACAATACTACTGCAACACAGACCAAAAAAGCAGCAGCAGAAACAACAACAGCAGCAGCCAGGTCTATCGAACAGACTCGCTAATGCAAATGCTATGGCACAATAATAGCTCACAATAATGCCATAACATTGCAATACACATGTCCCAAAGCCCATAGCGCACGGCACACAAGGACATAACCAAATATGCACATTTCTACAACAAAGGTATATCAGTGTGATGTTAAAAGTAATTGACAACTGATAATTAAACTGCTCGGCGGCAGCTTATAATAAACCAGATATCTTACCTTGAGCTGCAGGTCAGCTGCTCCAGTAGTCATAATAATCCAAAAGGTGGTTCAGAAATGAAGTCTCTCCTAAGGGCATGGAGGTCCAATGAGTTCAAAATGTCAGTGTGGACATGGATCAGGGAGAGGTCAGTCAGTCTCTTCTGGGTCATGGTGTTGCTGGAGCCATGTTTTCACGTGATACAAGGTGGAGAAGGTCCGCTGGCATAAGGCTACAGAGATGAGCAGGCACCGACAAAACTATGAGTTTTTCAGCTTCTGTAAACACAGTTCTTGTTTGTGTAGGAGTTTAGATAGACATTCATGTCTTGAACTGTGATAGGAGACTCTCCGGTGACATCGTCCATCATTTTGAGCTGGAGATCAGGACGGCCTGGGTCCAGCTCCTCGGGAAGGTGAAGTGGCACCAAATCAATCGTTTCCCCTCTGCTGCCTCTTCACGCAACCAAAACACAGAACCTGACCATACTCCGCCACGTAATGAAGACACTTACATTTAGCAAACCAAGTTCGTGTAAATACACGGCTGAAAGTTTCTTTCCCAAAACGTCTGGCCGGAAAACTGAAGTTATGGAAGGAAAAGCTCCTCAAATGCCGCCAAATCAGTCCTAACTTGACACCTGTTAGCAGCAGACTCTTCAATGGTGGCGGTGCTAGCTTGATACGCCAGTCTACATCCCCGAGGAAAAGTTACAACCAAACGGAAACGATGTAGCGCAGGTGGAGCTGCTCTCCTGGGAAGGCTGGACTTCACCTGTGCTCTCTTTAGCCGGTGGTTTGCCAAAATAAATCTGCAAAACGTTTTTTCCTCCATTATGACTTTATCCTTCGGTTAGCTATCAATGCTACTGCGGCCGGATGTAAATTTACGAATCCTAACTTAGAGTTGACATGACCCGCCCTACACTGCCTCTGATTGGCTAATGATCGACCGTTGCCTTTGCTAGTTGGATTGGTTTGGTTTAGGCACGAGGAGTGAGAGTGGTGAGGGACAAGGTAAGAAGAATATACTGTACATAAAAAATGAACGTCAACCGAAATGCGCCAGGCGAGCAATTCCTATAGAAACTGAATAGGCGCCATTTAATACATCCATGACGTCGACTCCGTGAAGCCAATGCGGAAGTACCTGAAACCTGCATTCTATCTAATGACCATCAGGGGGCGAGTCCACTGGTTGCAAAAAGAAGTCCGATTGTGTGGGAGAATGACTCTGCTTCTCATTTGATTTATTACCTCAGTAAACATTTTCGTTGTCTCTTTATTGTCTCACTCACTAGTTCTAAGTCTCCTTCAATACAGCATGATGTTCATTTCCAAATTATGGTCCTATTTAAAAGGAAATAGACGATAAAGCAGAGTGGTTTGGGGGCGTGGCTACCGCGTGATTGACACACAGGGTGAAAAACTATGCTCTCACCACCGCAGCACTCCAGTTTCCCGCGGCAATGGGTGGTGTTCATTTTCCACCCTACATACTCTTCAGTTATAGAATATCTTCAAGTCACACAACCCCATACATGTGTGAGGAGTGCGTAAAGGGAACCAGCCAGCTATGTCGTCAAGTTTCCCACTGGTGAAGAGTTTCCTTTATGTCTCTCTCTGCACCAGAGAGTCCTGAGACCTGAAATAGGAGCAAATCTCTCATTCATCATCTGACTGAAGTTATTCAGGCCTGAAGGTATTGATATGCAAACAAGATGGTTCAGCTGCAGGTCTACAGAACAGGCCTTTATCCAAAAAGCCCTGGCTCCATCCCTAATACATTTCTGTGTCGCTCACACAATGACCCCGCTGTCAATGGTCCATGTGAGCGTCTGGCTCCACTGAGGGCGCATAGGATCCAAACACGCATGGATTAGACCAAACCCGGATATCGGGATGGATGGGCGAATGCCACCCCTTCAGATCTTTACACCCCTAATG